ATCTCGTGTCTTAAGCGTTGATTGCAGGAGAGCAGGTGGCATTGTTGCAAGTGTCATATCTCTAGGCTTGGAGGTCAGTTCATGATTTATTCTTTGGGTCTTTCGGTAAAGCCACGTAGATAGAAGAAAAACAATGATAAAAGAGAAGAAAATATCACGACGTTTAGATCGCAACACAACAAAATAATTTGAATTTTTTTTATATATATAAAAAATTTCCTGCCTCAGTAGCTCTTCCGCTATTTTTTTTTTACCTGATGACGATTGCTTGCGTTGCGATCGAAACGTCGTGATATTTTACCATTTTTTGTTATTATTTTTCTTCTTCTATCTACGTGACTTTACCGAAAGACTCAAAGAATATGAATTCCTGCAGTCACGAAAGCTTTAAGTCAAGATTTAGTTCACGATTTCTTCTCTCAAACTTTTTCCGTGCACTACCTGCGGGACATTTCCAACTCGGCTCCTGAATATCCCTGCAGTAGCGCGTGGCTAAGCTTCACAGAAAATCGGCTTAACACGCAGCCCAAACCGGGAAAACCACACTTGATTACAAGTGGCCTGGAAAGCTTACGCGTTAACGCGCTCCACTATCCATCCAGCAAACATGCTTTGAGCAGTTTCCTTTTGTCCCTTCTTATGCACCGGGTCACTTGAGAAACCCTTTCCAAATCAAATCTACGGAATTCCTCACCTGTTTTTTTTTTGGTAATAAATGTTTAAACATTTGTAGAGGCTAAATCAACACGAGTATTTACACCGGGCCCCGAAGCCATCAGGTACTTAATAAGTAACCAGTATTACAACCCGAACCTAATGACTTTACACGCAATTCGCCAACTCCTGGCTCACAGCTCTTAATTTTAACAGCACCCTTGAAAACAGGAAACGTGCAATTGTTCAGGGACACGGAGTGCGACTCAGCCATCCCAATTAAATTGTGTAGGGGCAAACACGGAATCGCTTCATGTATTTAGTCACGCGCAGACATTATGGGTGGCTCGAGTGACAGAGCGAGCGGCTCACCATTGGACGGCTGCGAGTTAAAATTCATGGTTTGGGGTCGACTCAGCCCATCACCCTTCCAGGGATTGTTAAAATAGGAACCACTTTGCGAAGGTAGGCTAAAGCGGTTGTCCTATGGGGAAGCCTGCCTTCGGCAAAGGAGTCGGGAATTTTCACCACTGGCTCACGGCTGTAAAAATGAGACGGACACCATCTTCTACGGATCAACTCGCCCCTACCATAGAACCGTGGAAATGTCACCACTGGCTCAGCAGGCGATAAACACAGCCTCATTGCTCATTTTAGCAAGGGGTCACTTTGACCTTTGTGGTGGCGAGATGGTTAGCACCCTCACTTATACACCCATCCACAGCGAAGAGCAGTGCTACGTGGTATTGAACCGGTCCCAGGCCAAAGGAATGGAGAGTACAGGGTAAACCACGATGTAGTGTGACCCCCAATTAATTGACCCCGAACATTTTTTTTTGCCTTTGAATGTTCATTTCTGTTTTAAAATAAACGTTCCTTAAAAAGATTACGTACGGTGCGAAATAAGTTCAACAACATACACATATCTGGACCACCCTGTCCGGTATGGTCAGACAACACTCATGGCTGATCCAAGGGTGCATGGCCAGGGCTAGAGATTGTTACTAATACTGTGAAGGGTGACTGCCTCGTCAGGAGTTGAACGCTTTTCAAGCTCGCTACTGTTCCTTCCAACCAGACGAATACACTTTTTTTTTTCAAGATCTGAAATGCGTGATCATCATAGCAAAATAATGTACAAATCTTATTAAATGTAAACTAATTATAAAGGCAGAAATATGTTTTTAAGTGTAAATATTTAACGAATGAATGTGAACAGGATACAAACTACGGGAGGTGCAAGGCAATAACACGGAGCATTTAATTCAAAATAGATGATAAATTCTTAGTAAGTGCATTCAACACAAATACTATAAAACCATTGAAAAAGTGCACCGGGACTTGGATATATTCATTTACATTGACGACGATGATGATGAGAACGATGATGATGATGAGAATTCAGATTAAATTCATGATAATAAATCAGATCTCGAAAATAACTTGATACTTCTCATGCGCAGACGTGTTTTTTTGTCACGAGGTAAACAAATCTGAAATTAAATAAACAAACACTCACAATTTGACATAAAACTGGTTTCCTGCTCATCAATGGGAGGCGGTGCTCGTATCTACAAATACACTCCTGAGGAAGTGCTGGAAATTCAACATTCCTACGGTGGACACCAATCAATCTATTACTATTTAAACACATTTTTTCTTTATTTTACCAGGTAAGGCCCACTGAGCTGTACAGCTCTTTTTCACACGCGACCTGGCCACACATGATAGCCCAACATGATAGCCCAACGAAGTGCCTTATCACGTGGACATGTATATCAGCCAAATACTCTAAACGCGTGTCGATTGTAAATGTGGAGGGTAAAACCGGAGGGCCCAGAGAAAAATCCACGCGACCACGGGGAGAGAGAGACACACACAAACTCCAAATATACAGCAGCATGCGTCAGAGGGTCGGGATCGAACCCACGACCTCCTGTATACCAGGCGAGGGAGTTAACATCTAGCCACCGTGATGAGAGAGAGAGACACACACAAACTCCAAGTATACAGCAGCAGGCGTCAGAAGGTCGGGATCGAACCCACGACCTCCCGTATACCAGGTGAGGGAGTTAACATTCTGCCACCGCGGTGCCCCGTATAAATAGTTACACCAATGAATCGGTAGGTCACGTGTGGTGGGATAAATTGTGGGTACTCACACCTTTTTCCAAATGTCTGTCAGGCGCTTCCACCAGCAGTAGCACAAACAAGAAATTTCAGGGCCGCACCTTTGCATGGAAGTTTTGGAACATTAACTTGACAATGCCATTCGGTAATTATCAGGCATTCGAGTCGCTTTATCCGGGTGGGGAGAAATCTGTAAAAGCAGCCCCGTAGCAAGAAGGTCACACAAAGTAGTGCTCGAACCGTGTTCCGTAGCTTCTAGTCAAACAGGACCCTCTAAAATACGTTTTGAGGCCGATTAAGGTTTTAGATGCTAAGACAATTACACAGTGTTTAATGAGTAATCGTATGAACGCTTTGTGTTCATTGTGGATTTCGCAGTGATTAAAGTTTTAAAATGTAAATCACAGTCGTGGGTTGACTCGGCCTACAATAATGCCTTGGGTGTTGATCAAACAAACGAATTAACACTTGGTGGGAGGTCGCCAGTGGTTGTCTTACAAGGTGCCACGGTGGCTAGGAGATGTTAACTCCCTCGCCTGGTACGCAGGAGGGTCGTGGGTTCGATCCCGACCCTGACGCCTGCTGCTGTATATTTGGAGTTTGCGTGTCTTTCTCTCCCCGTGGTCGCGTGGATTTTTCTCCAGGTCCTCCGATTTTCCCCTCCACATTTAAAATCATCGTCACGTGCATTTAGAGTATTTGGCCGCAATACATTTGCACGCGATAGGCAACTTCATTCAACGATCATTTGTTGCGGCCAGGTCGCTTCTGCACAAAATAGCTATATAGCACATGTAGTTGGTCTCCTTACCTGGCAAGGAGGCCAACTGTAAGCGGCGACCTCTGGGATTGTAAGTGCAATGTGCCAACCATTACACCACACGGCAGACTCACCCCTGGAAAGTAAATACATGGGTGGATGGTGTAGATTGATCACGATAGAGCGCAATTGGGCGACTGTATTTAGGAATGCGGCTCTACTGGGAAGAAGTAGAGTCGCGTGGTTCTCTCCGGTCCAATGCTCACAAGTAGCCGGCCTCGAATGCAAGCAGGCCGCCCCGATGGATCGGCGAACAGTGGTTGGTCATAGTTTATATTAATGGATAACACAGCTGTTAATTAATTGGCTGCTCGATGGCAGTTAGTAGGGGAGCTGGGGAGTGCAAGGGCTGATGGGAAATCTGTATTTTCATTAACAGATAAAAGGGGTCTTTGTTCGCTGGGAGTTAGCCATTCTCACATCTCTCATTAAAAAAGATCAACACATACACCACGAGAGTGCACAACAAGGACGAAGGCCCCCACCCCCGTACACAGCTTTAACATACTAAAGAAGGTCGGCATGGCACACGAGGGGGTGGGTGGGCTGCCTTTATCTCGCCAAACCAATGCTGCTGCTTACACATCGCACCGGGCACTCATTTAAGGCCGAGTCAACCTCGGGGAGGCACAGGACCGGTTCAGATATTCGTCACCAATATTGGCCGTGAGCGGGAATCGAACTCGGGTCACCGGCTTCGGTGACCCGAGTTCCAACCGCTGCACCGCCACTCCCCATGCGTGCGAGTGGACACACACACACCTCAGTTAACCCTGGACGTTAAGCAAACGCCTCCCCGTACCTCTACTTAACCTAAATAAACTCATTAAACAAGTGTGTTAGCGAGTACCTATTATAGCCGGCGTGATTTATACTCTGGTTGGGGGAGTGTAAGGGGAGCAGCACCATGCCCAGCCATCTCAGCTTCCTCCCTCCGCCAAGGATTAATTTCAGGCCGAGTCGACCTAGGGGAGGCCCAATCATGGTTCATACACCACTCGTCAGTACTGTAGTGTCACTACCGCGTAGGTCTTCGCGGTTGCACCGTACGGCACTCCGACGTGTATGTCTTCTGTCTTCGGAAGCTCCCAGGACGTGGAGCGAAACGTCGGGGCATCTTACAGACCAACACGAGAGCTGCTCGTGGTCAAGGTTAAAACCCAGGCCGCCAAAGCCAGTGGCGTGTTTGGGCATGTTAACAGACATACATAGACACAGATAAAGATAACATACATACCAGTGCGCACACCTCTGATGTGTGCGAATACCACCGATGCGCGTGCGAGGGGACACGGACGGAAGCACACAAATGTGCAGGTGCTGCGAAAATCGGAGCTGAAAGCTCGACAGTTTTGCGTCATTGCCCATGTGATCGTTGTGGTCGTTGTGGTCCTACCTGCAGGGCATAGGGACACATCTGAGCTGTGGGGGCCGGTCGGTTCCGGTGAAAACTGGACATCAAGGGAGTGCCTCCCTCCCCGCTGCTGCGGATGGCGTTGGCTGTGAAGGAGTGTATCTGGCCCCTTGCAGTTGCTGGGGCCCACTGATGAGGTGGGACCTCGTGCAAAGAAAGTTGATAATTAAAGTCACAGCATGAGGTGCTTTATGTTGAGAGTTCTGGCAGGTGTGCTGCATTCATCCCCATAACAACGAATTCCGAGTGGTCTAAAGGTTAGTCAGTCCGTCTATTTCGGGTAAGGCCCACGGGGAGCTAAGAAGCCCACTTTTTTTTTCAAAGTGGCAAACCGGCCTACAAATATTGTCAAAAATCACACGTTACTTTAAACGTAAAATATTTTTTAGCAACAGACACAGAGCCCCCCCCCCCCCCCAAACAAAAAAAACGCCAAGCGACCAGCAACAAACAGATCTATTAAAGTCGCGTTAATATGCATAAACGTATGTTAAGGCGCCATCTAACAGTAGATAATTCAAATGATGGGTGGAAGCGCTGATGCAGTGGGTAACGCACCGGGCGGACACCTGGGTTTGATTCCTGGCCACGGCTGGCATCAGTGGTGAGTGGCACATGAATTGGTCCCAGCCACCCAAGGTTGCTCGCTATTATCTGCACACGAGTTCCCTCGCGCAGATATTGTAATCTCTTGACGAAGTGCCGATTGCAAAGTTAATATAATTTGGAAGGAAAAAAAACAAACTCAAGCAGCCACTTACCTAGCAGTAGAATCCTATACTTAACCAGGAGATGAGATATAAACCCTTTGAGACACATGCGACCACCAGGCTTAAATTAAGTTAAATTGAATTCACTTAACATTTTTCTTTACGTAACAAATCTAGAAAAAGTAACAATTAAAAAAAGATGCAGTGTTTACCAGCATTTGTGAAACGCTACCAACCACAATGTCCATTTACCAGTTAATATAATAAACTGTCTTTCGTTCTGTGCCACAGTACAGAGAGCATATTCGGCATCCTTTGTGGAGCAAAAATAACTTATCGACCAGTGACAAAACTGGACCTCAACTTGGACCTCTATAACCCTATGTCATTCCACTGCTAATCAGAATCAGAATATGTATTTATACTGGAGGAATCCGGTGAGCTATAAAGCTCTTTTCCCACAGGTTGAAAGGAAGGCTACCCCACGTCGCCATGTTTGTTCATGGAATTTGTATTACCACAGTTTTCCTTGCTGGTCAGTGCTGGTCAGTGCTGGTAGGTTGTTTGGACGTAAGACGATAAAGGTGCTGCCCTGCATGATTGCTTGCTCACGCCACTGCTGGTGACAAAAGGGGGCTTCGGAGAAATCGGTGTTCTTCGCTAATTTTCTGAGCAGAGCCACTTTCGCCGATAAGACACGATCAGTGCGAGGGTGGTTGTCACGTGTTGTGTATTGTCGGGAGCCCGCACTGAAGGCCATCTGGGGCCCGCCAGTGGCCCGTGGGCCTTGCAATGAAGAACGCCGCTCTAGAGGGTAGTTGACCTCTTCCACGCCGGTCAGGCATATTAGAACAGGGTAGGGATACCCACACTTTACGCCACCACACGTGACCTGCGGAACCACTAACATCGGGTAAGATTTAAGTAAGTTGCACCGTCGTTTAAATTGCCGCGACAGGAGGCGGATTCGAACCGGCGACTTCTGGATCGCAAGCCCCGGGCGCTCACCGTCACGCCACTGTGGCAGCGTGCCTGGAGAGTTTGAGGACGGATGTTAATCTCTGATTTGATGCATCCTTACACTCGTAATTCTAAAGCAGTGAAGTAAAAAAAAAAGTATACATTTTTGGCACTTATCGGCAAAAAGATGAAGATTTTTTTTTATTTTCACGTAAAAGGTGACTTCAAGTAGCATCTGGAAGTGATCATTTTGAAAGAGCCATGGAGGTCTCCAGTACAATTTTATTCAGTAATAAAAGTGATTATTAAAATGATTCAAAATAAATAATACTTAAAAACCATAAATGTTTAACTTGTTATATATATCCCACAGTTCATCATAATGATATTGAACAGCCAGTTAAATACGTTATAATAAAGGCAAACACGGTAGCCAATATATTAAAGTCACTTCTTGCGAAATTAGGATATTATAACCTGTCAAGTGATGCAGAAGTAAGGAAAAAGTTGCACACAGCAGAAGGCCTGGATGATGCAGGCAGCGATGAGAAGGACACTGGCACTAGTTGGAGACACGTGTAGGATGGACAAGAACAGGAAAATTTAAAGTGTGTTGTTCTGAAAAATGGAAGGAACCGAAAAGAGAGGAAGCATGGCCTGACAACGAAATAAGAAATTATATATTTTATTATTTTATTGTTTCCCTTCAACGTGACTTTACCGAAAGAACCAAGAATAAGTAGCACTACTTTAGAATATTGGCACAAGACAGAGGAAAGTGGAAACAAATGTGAAGTGGACACCTACGGGCTCTCTACCCATGGAGCGTGATGATGATAGTGATGAACCAGTAAATAATTGAAACAAAAAATGCGTTTGACATAAAAAATTGCCAACGATATGTTTCCTGCACAGTTACATTGGGTTGCATTTCCAAAACCTGGTGTTGCTATTCAGGTTGAAGGTGTATTGGGGTCTGGCACATGCCAGATCAAACCTGTACGATCCAGCCCCCCAAGTGAGTGACTCGGGTTACTATCTGAGCCTTTAAATCGGGGTTGTTTTCATTCTCACGCTCTGTAAAGGTGCGCTCAGAGGTGGTTCTTGAGAAGTATAAATAACAAAAGAGCCTTAGCCATGCTCCGCTTACGGGTTTTGCCCCATCCCCCATTCCCCCTCCACCCACATTTTTTTTTTAAACACAGAAATTGAAAGTGGCGTTACCAAGTTGGGTAGAATGTGAAATCTGCCCAACGTCACGTGTGCTGTGCCCAATATCTATTTTGTCAATGTTATAATCGACGTGCAGACACAATTGTTGGGTGAAGTAAGCAGAAAATGCCAATTGGCTTTGCTCTCCAACACACCCGGTGTGCTGTACTAGTAACGAATTGGCATGCTCGGTTTACGTGACAAACCTTACGAATTGGCTGTGTCGGGTTTGGCGGGTTTAACGACACATTTATATATTTACGAAATATAACCCCAAAAAAAACATCTATTATGGATGATATTGGTCGCGAAAAGCCTACGTGGAATGATTACGTTTTCAAAGCATCTGTGACAAATCACTGTTGGGCAAATAAACCCCGAACTGGAGATAATACCGTCATTCATTCAATGAGGCATTGCGGTAAATGAATAATGTATGCGTTGAGTATGTTAAGTATACCATGTATCGAGGCAAGATCCTATGAGAAAAATACAAATTGATCAACGTGTGGCAAGTTAAGGGAGGTTGTGTGTCCCAGGAACAAGAATGCAACCGTTTTTAAATTTCAAAAACACAACGTAGTCACAATGACACATGAGTTCGAATCGTTGGCAAGCCGGACGTTATATAGAGACATGGGTTAAGGCAGTGGCTGCAGAGATTTGTGTTGATATGTCTGCTCTCCACACGTGTTATTGTTCCACAAGCAATCCTTGAATTATGCAAGAATGTCTACCTTTGCGAACAGCACCGAATTGTTTTAGTTCCAAAAAGGTCCTCCCTGACAGCACACGCAAACCACTTCAGCCACTCGCATCGTTTCTCATCAGATGCCAATCGACATACGCATCGCACGTCCTATACTCGCACGGTATTCTCGTACATTCTGTAATTTGTTACGCGGAACGTACAGAAAATCTCGGGGTGCTGCATGGGCGCACTGCACTGCGAAGCCGGCAAAACTATGCAGCCGGGTTCAATTCCCTGCCATGGTTACAGCTTCAGAAGCAACTGAACTGGTTCTGGGCACTCGCTTCGTCAATCTGCAACGACCAGGGTGGTGAAGTGTGTACATGTATATAAATACCCAGTCGCTCTTCAACAAGGCGTGACAATCATTAAGAGGATATTATGAACGTAAGTGTGTTTTTGAATTATGTTTTGAATGCCTCTACTTTTGTACTTTTTTTAATATGTCTAACCCTGCTACCTCCCAATCACAAACACTTTAGATTCACGTAGCACAATATCAGCAAAAAAAACATACTTGTGATGCGTAAATAATAATGGTATTTTCTGAGATCCCTCTGTAAAAGTCACATTTGTGTGCGAACACGTGTGATGATCACCCCATCTATGATTATTATTCAGTTATCACAGCAACAACATATTGTAAACGGACAATTCCGACAATGGATGTTCTCTTTGCATGTTAAAAAAAAAAAATGAATCGCTTTAAAATATATCGAGGTGGGTGACAATATTATTTTCGGTCTTTCGGTAAAGTCAAGTCGATAGGTTTAAAGTATTTCGTTGCTGTGATAACCGAATATTAATCATAGATGGGGTGATCATCGTACGTGTGCGCACACAATTGTGACTTTTTACAGAGGGATCTCAGAAAATACCATTGATTACGCATCACAAGTGTTTTTTTTTCTCATAGGATCTTGCCTCGATACATGGTTAAGTCACGCAGATATGTTTCTTTCATCCCATCTACGTGACTTTACCGAAAGACCCAACGAATATGAATCCCTGCAGTCACGAAAGCTTTAAGCCAAGGTAGGCGACAAGTTGAGGTATGATGTAATTGAAAAAGCAATTATGTATAAGAATGTATTATTTCGTTTTGCCAGACAATAGACCGTTGTAAATGGGTTATTAGCTGGTATTGTCTTTGAGGATGCTGTTGTTTAAATATTAGTTCAGCTGTAAATGCAGTAATAAACCGCAATTCCCTCCATTAGTGGACTGCTGTCCTTGCTCCGAGCCTCGTTTATGATTTATAAATACACTTTAATAATAAGCCCGCATTGCATTCCTCTTGAAACATAGCTTTGAATACTTGACATCTAGAAAGGTCGAATAACCGTGGATCATAACTTTACAATAAAATATCTACATGCCACTTTAAATCAGTTCTGCGTGACATTGACAGGTAATAAGGATATAAGCGGCATGTTCATCGTCAGTGCAATGCTTTTAAAGTGTGCGGTTCACACCTTCACATAGCAGCATAACCCGAGCACGTAAGAGCATAACCTGAGCACGTACTGCATAACATGGAACACGTACTGCATAACCTGAGCACGTACATCATAACCTGAACGCGTACGACGTGACCTGAACAAACTTATAAACACAAGTATTAAAACCGGTATGTTGTGAAGCTTTTGGTAAGAGCACTCATACTAATGGTCCATTAACGAAACAATACCACAGAGATGGAAGAATAATCCCATTCCCACGAGTTCGCTCGAAGTTAAACGCAGAAGTAAATCCGTGTTCAACG